AAGAAAAGAAAGAAAAGAAAGCGTGTTTCAATGTGTCAAATAAACGTGACAAATGGTAAAAATGACATCTTCAATGTGATTTGTATAAGTTCAAGTATTCAGCGCTGGCTAAAAACGCGTAAGTTGACCAACATCGCCGACATTCACACTAATGTTAACAATGTTTCTAAAAAAAAAGAAGATAAAAAAACACTTCAATGAAGAATACCTTAAATATATCATTCTAAAATATTTCATTCTACATTTCGGGGCTTCTTGTCAGTTCTTCAAAATAGCTAAATCTCAACGAGAACCCATAATGTTTTTTTTATGTTATCTAATTTTTAAATTCCCACATATGTTCCTGGGTAGTTCTTGAAAAGGTGATCTTTTGTAGTTCTGTATATTGCTTATTTGGAATCTACTCCAGATTGCGTCCCAACGTCAAATAGTACTGTTCATATACAGGGTGCGATGCATAAATTGTCGTCAAAATTACGCAAAAATGAAAATAACACTGACATCTCATTTTAACAGATATATTTACCAAAATGACACAAAAAATATCTTAAAATACTAAAGGTTAAATTTACTCAATAAAATCACCATTGGCTTCAACCTCGATTTCGGAATCTCCTGCAACTCTAGATGGCCGCCTTGTTTCTGTTGGTGAATGCTGCTATAATTCTTGCCTTCAGTTCATCTTTGGTGTTACAAGTTTTGTTAGTCTCTCGCTCAACTGCGCCCCACATATAATAATGAAGGGGGTTGCAGTCTGGGACGTTAGGTGGCCAGATGTAAGGGATGATGTGGTCACAGAAATTGTCTCAGCCATGATTGGGTTCTCCTGCTTGTGTGGCATGGTGCAGAATCCTGTTGCCAAACATAAGGTTTTACAGCAGTCACCCTCTTGACCCAGGACAGCACTACCTCCTCAAGTCACTTGATGTAGGCTTCTGTGTTGAGTCTGTGTCCCTCATCAACAAATTCGGGAGTTCTTTCTTATCAGAATGATCAGAGTGAATTTTCAGATTTGTTGTACCTTCGTAATTAACATTAGACTCATCCAACTCTTTCCGAATCATCTGCACTAAACTCAGATTGACACCGAAACGAAAATACCAAAATTCTGGAAATTAAAAAAACGCACGCTCTATATGACGGTAGTCACAATACAATCAAAGGCAACTATTTTGTAAATAGTTAAGCAACATTAGTACTATTAAGCTTGAACAACCTTCTATCAGTATGGCTAATGCTAACCCCCAGGAAAGTGACTCGTTGCGTCTTATCAGGCTAATGATTTTCGCTGACATGAAGTGGAAAGATTATATCGAATTAATTGTTAGGTCTGTTGCTACGAAAGTTGGTTTCCTGTGTCGTGCTAGACTAATTTTCTCGCCAGAATTTATCTTACATATTTACAAATCTACCATTCGTCCATGCTTAGAATATTGCTGCCATATATGGTCTGGTGATCCTGCTATATATTTAGAGATCCTTGATAAAATCCAAAGAAGAATCTGTAATGTAATTGGTTCTGATCTGGTATCTGGGCTTCAGTAACATTCCTATCGCCGTAATGTAGCTTCCCTATGCCTTTTCTATATATTTTTTATCCCATGACTTGTAAGGTCGTAGAGACACCATGTATACTGCAGCTGCATTAGAAGTGGTGTTTCTTGGGCAAGATAACCTGACGGAGCCCAACCTTCTCCAGGCTGGTTTTGAATTCAGAGTTAGTTTTGAATAGTTTCTATAAATACTGTCATGGTAATTGTTCTGATGAACTGCAGCGGACCGTGTGTTTAATACGCGTTGTGAAATGAACACGTGTGGTCTCCTGAAATAAAAAGCCCACTACAAAAATATGGCAGACTCAAGATGAGTCCAACCAAGAGAAATGTAAAAGAAAACAACCAATAACGATATATATTTTCTTAATCAATTTTCTACGGCTACCAAGAAATTGATTCGTGAACTCGAAAGGATTTAAACAATAATAAACAGACATAGTATGTCTAAATTATTTAACCATATATATATATATATATATATATATATATATATATATATATATATATATATATATATATAATTATTTATTCGAAAATTATAACATAAATATGTTATAAAATCACTACAAAAATAGCTATTTTGTTTCAACACTTCTGGTGTCTTATCAAGTGATGGTGTTGAATAAAGGGTTTTAAAAGGTTCAAATCAATCAAACACCCCTCGCTAGGGGAAACGCTGTTACATAAGTTGGAATGACCAATCAAAATACAAGTATATGAAAATTCAAAAAACTTGACAACGAACTTTGGTTATAATAATTATCTAATTCTTTAATGTTAGGGTTAGACTAAAATAGAATCCATTCTAACGAATAAATATTAAATTATACTATAAAATTAAAAATTACCAATTTTAAATTTTAAATTTAATCAATATTAAGTTTAAAATTATAAAATTATTTAAAGAAGAAACTGAGGAAAAAATATGTTTTTCTATTTATTTTGTTTTTATTGTAATTAAGTTGGAATAAACGTTAAGATCTAATGCTGCTCTAAACTCCGTTACAACTTAGATAAATTTGAAGCAAAAACATGGGCAAGGGAGGATAAAATCTTGTCTAGTAAACCAGTTGATAACATCAGCTGTGTTAATCCACTGTAAGAGTCCAAGAGTGTTTTTATGGATTGCTTGTTTTTTTCCAAGATGGTTTTACTGCTTCTACCGATTTCCGGTCTTGTAGGATTAATAAGCCTTGTTGGTAGCGTGGTTCTGAAATCGAGTTTATGGTCTTTTAACAAAAGACAAGCATCCTTAGCTTGCAGTTTACTGACACGATCACTTATCCGTAGTTTGTCAATAATGGATTTACTGACATTCCTATCTATCATATTGGATATATATATATATATATATATATATATATATATATATATATATATATATATATATATATATATATATATATATGAAAAGTGTATATAAATATAAATAAATATATATATGTATAATTATTTATATATTATATGTGTGGTACTTATTAGAAAGCGCTCAATATCAGAGATAGAGCTAACATATTTGGTTGGATAGATGTGAGTTTGTGACCCCTGGGTTTCACACTTTAGCGTCACGATCGCTAAAGCCTGAAACCCATGGTCACAAACTCACATCTATCCAACCAAATATATATATATATATATATATATATATATATATATATATATATATATATATATATATTGGGTAAATTCTGTTCTAACACTTTCTTTTCTAGCACTTCTCGCTTGTGGAACTCTCTTTCGTCTTTTTTTTGGTTTCCAGTCACGTTTGATTATCAAAAATTTAAATGCAATGTCAATCGTTATCTTGTTTTCCTAATTTCTGTTCTTTTATTGTTCTCGCTCTTTAATAATGTTTTGTTTTATATTCTTTCAAACTCAGTAACCCCGCGTCTTAGTTGCTTCGTTGCATTGAATGGGGTGAATTGAACGATCTTTCAAGTCAGCCAATATTAACATCTTTATTTTTATTTTTGCGTTTTGTCGCCACGTCATTTCTAAAAGCATTCAGTACCTGCATAGGTACAAGTACGTTAAGTGTAGAGAGGTTTTATTTCCTCAAGGTAGCGTAGTTTTGTCTTATTTTTTATGTGTCCTCTCCCAGGATGCAGGCAATCACCTTCCCATCAAAAGATTTCCTTTTTTATCATCTGTGAATTGCTATTTCTTGAGTAGTGGTTTCCGGTTGCCTTTGCCACGGTTTTAAATTTAGATTATCCTTTTGCTACACTGACTGCCAAACAAGGCTAAAGAACACATCTTGCCATTTTTAACCTATAGCTAGTAGCAAAATATTTGGGTTAATGCTTTGCCTCGCGGGTATTTGTGTGAAAGTAAACGCAACAGATTCGGCCGGAATTTGAAATCGGCGTCATCGATTTCACTTTCAGTTTCGATAACCTTTACGTTTATTACATTAAGCTTTCATCTTTTTAACATACTTTCGGATCTTAAATCAAGGTCTTGTTCTCAAGCAACTTTGGGGGCAATGGTAAGTAATCTTGCCTTCAACCCTTTTACCGTTACTAGGCTTACAAAAGATAACGTCTAAAGGCACAAGTTTTTAAGTTTAAAACTTTCCGTCGAGATATTTAAGAAAAGTAATTTTAAATCAAGCAATTTTTCACGGTAATTTAAACACTCAATCCTTCTCGCCGCTGCTCTTACCACTAGGCTACTCACACATCAATTGCAAGCAACTGATGGCATGAAGACAAACACTAAAAAGACAGCGAGACTAATGACAATGCATGAATATCTTGTGTTTTTTATTTATTTTATTAAAGGAGCTCGACTTGCTTTATTTTTAATTAAGAGTGACACTAAAAGGGTTAAATGGAAAGTGTATGCGTTCGTGTGTAGGCGGTAGAGAAAATACGCTGAGATTTTAAGGAATTTCCATTTAGGATGAATCTGTTAGAAACAAAGCTAAAAAAAAAAAAGATTTACTAATCCGTTACAAAAGAACAAAACAAAAAAAAGTAGAAGAGCAACAATAATAAAAAAACCGAGAAAACAAAACAAAAAAATGAAGGAATATAAAAGAAAAAGAAACAATAATAATAAAAAAATGGAGACAAAAAAAAAAATCAAGGGAACGAAAACGCTGAGGCAGATCTCGCGTGAGTTGGAATGCTTGATGCGAGAGGTGCCGGGGTCCGAGCTTTGGCTTGCACGCGGGCGATAATAGTGTCTTTATGTATTTGCCTGAGACAGAAGCCGTGCATCACCGATGACATTCTTAAAATACGAACCGAAATAAAAATCTAAAAAGAAAGAGGAGGCTGACATGGCAAAATTATGCTTCCTTTTGAAAACGGACAAGATTGCATTAAAGAAACATGCAGGCTGTGTGAGCATTCAAAATTAATACGAAATCAAAGCTGTGCATTCGCTGAACACACTTTTTAAAAAAATATATTTTCGGCCTCCCTTTTTTTCCTCAAGTTCGTCTTCTTCTTTCTCTGTTAAACCTCTTTGTTCTTTCTTTTTCTTTCTCTGTTAAACCTCTTTGTTCTTTCTTTTTCTTTCTCTGTTAAACCTCTTTGTTCTTTCTTTTTTCTTTTATATTTCTGTTTTTCTTACGTTTGTCTCTTTCTTTTCGAAATCTTTGTTTTTTATTCGATATGTGTAAAGCTATTCTTTTCTTTCTCATTATGTTTTTAATATTTACTAGATTTAGCTTAGTTCAGTACAAAAGCAGATGAGGGTTTATATAAATTAAGATGAGTATGTTGCGCCAATTTTATTGCATGTACAATGTGTGCTTGACTTTAAAATCAGCATTTTTAGGCTTTTATTGGGATTTGAGCACCGAATACTGCTACTATTAAGAAATACGAAACTAATATACGAAAAAGGTCCTTCTGGCTAGCTTTTTGTAAAAATCATTTCACCCCAAGCAAGGTAATAAAACCATTAAGACGCAAGGTGTTACTGTGTGTTAGAGAATACGAGAAAACGCTATCGAGAGAACAATAAAAGAACAGGAATTAAGAAGACAAAAGAAAATAATCGACATTGCATTTAAATTTTTGAAGATGAAAGTTGATAGGGAAGCAGAAGAAATTTCCACAAGCGAGAAGTGCGATAGAAGAAACTGTTAGCGTAGAATTTACGGTTACATCTAGCCCTTTCAAATGTAAAATGATGAGACCTTGCTGCCCATCTAGTACTGCGCTTAAATTCATAGTTTTCTTCATTCTGTTATACTTAGTTTAATTTTTTAAAAAGGAATTCTTCACTTTTTCTTTCTATTTTTAATTTTTAAGTTTTCTTTTTCCTTTACTTCAGACCTAGCTCATTCATACAAATATGTTTTAGTTCTTGTAGGCTGCTTTGTACTAAAATATATATATAATAAGGTGTAAACATTTTGAAGAAGTCAGAAAGCAGAAACTTTCGAAGAGAATGTTTCAACATTTCGGAAGGTACGGAAGACCAGAAGTCATAAAATTTCGATCTGAAGGTCAAGCTATTTTAGCTGTAATCAATGGATGAGCTGGGTTGATTCTCACAGAAGAAGCAAACTAAAAAAGGAAGTAGATTCAAAATGAAGCTAACTGAACTATGTTCTAGAAAAAGAAAAAAAAATGTTAAAAGTCCTTGTAACTTTGGTGAATTCTGCCAAAGCTTTCTGTTTCATCTTTCATAAATGCAACATTTTTTAAATAATGTGTATTTTGAAACTTTTTAAAGTGTATTTTGAAACAGTTTTAATACATTTTTATATCTTCTCAAAGATTTTTTTTATTATTGGAAGTTTGAAAGTTTTTATATCTTTTTTGTAAGCCAACAATCCCATATTTTGAACTGATTACCTTGCCTTGTTAATAATAAGGCGCACAAAATGAATTTTCTGTGCAAGCGTTTTTTGTAAAATTTGCATTTTCTTCATTGTTTTTTTTAATGTCTATATAATAAATGTTTGTTCTGTTCAAATTTTATATCGGAGTTTTGCTTGTTTACGCTTGAACTTTATTCAACATTCGCGCTAAGAAAGGTGACATTCTTTCTTCTTCTGCTCACTCCCAGAACTCCTTTAGCTTAATTCCTAAGCGTCTCTTTATTTTTTTTTTAAATGTCTCTTTCTGTTTATCACATCACGCATTCTGGTATTTGTTTAAATATATATCTCTTTAAACACAATATATTTTTTTTTAAATTTGAGCAAAAGCTATTGTTATTCACTATTAGAACTCTCCTGTAAAAAAGGTAAAATTATGTAAGAAAGTTTATATGAAAATAAAAAACAAAAAAAACAAACAAAAAAACAAAACGCTAAATGCTTACACTTCTGTGATATGCTGTGTCATGCCAATCCAAATGCATGTATATCCCTATTAGATGCAAAAAATACCATCAAAAAAACAAAACAAAACAAAAAAATCTCAGATCGATGTTATTCGTTATTTTAGGCAGCGAGAAAAACGCTTTCAACGAGAGGCCTTTTCAAAACAGTCAGTATCGTACTCATATGCTCAAAGTTCATAAATATTTGCTCACCTAATCATCTATCGCTCTCTTCTTTCTCATAGCATTCACATCTACTTCCGGCGGAAACAGTAGTTTGATATCGACTATAAAATAAATTTATAGAGCTGCAACCAGCCTTAAAAAACACACAAACATTTTTTTTTAACGCGGAATGTAACCTTATTGAATAGGCTCATCAAATATCTGTTAACATCTTCATTTGTAAGCGATTTATTTATATCTATGTTCAACTTTGCCGGAATCCAGATTCCATGCCACATAGATTACAGGCAGGTCATTATTCAAGGGTGGGAAATTTTAGCTTAGCTTGAATTTTTATGAAATGCAGCATCGACAATTATTACTTTTTAACTCGTATTTCTTTCGTTGCAATTATTCAGACCATTAGTCTGTGACCATTAGTAAACAAGCAGTAATGTTTATCCAGTCATAAGTAATTTCTGTTTTGAGGGAATCAATTTTAATGACGAATCATCTTAACTTTGGTACCTCCACGAGATCGCTAAAAAAAGAGCATAGCATAATGAAAAAAAGCCAAACTTGACGAAAACAAAATTTTATCGTCTAAATGTTTATGTTATTATTAAGAGGAAAGATCAAAGTATTTTTGGGGTATTATTTTACATTTTTTAATCGTTCCTAGCACGTCCGAAATTTTCGTTAAAAATCTTGTTTTTTTTGAGTCAGCAAAATTGACCATTGACCATTGATATTTAAAAGAATTTCAAAGTAAGATTTCCATTTTGTAAAAAAACTGGAAATCTTACTTTGAAATTCTTTTAAATATCAATTATCATTTTTCCAAAACTTATTTTAAGAAAATCAGAAATTATAATGTTTATTTAAAATATTTTGGACCAAGCTTAACTTAGTTTCTGCGCCGAAAAGATGTAATTTGAAAATAAAACAAAAGCAGGTCATAAACTTTCGTGTCACTTGACAGGTGATGAATGACATATTGACGGATTCCGTGAGGCTAATTTATTCTACGGAAGGAGAAAAGTGAAATAATTTACATTTAAGTGAACACATTATTTACCTCGTTATTTTTAAGGAAAACTTTCAGCGCTCCAATTTTTTTTTGTACTTAGCTTACATCTTTACGTTTCGATGCTTTATGGAAAATATATTATAAAGAAATTAAAATAAGACTGTTAAGAGTGAGATTAAATTTCATAAGAAAGGTATCTAATTAATTTATAGGTAACTTTCTTATGAAATTTTATCAGAAGTGTACATAAAATACTATAATTTTATGTTCATTTATTACATTTGACTGTGTTATTTGTATTTGCATTCATTTTATTATTAATTTTGATATTTTATTTATGGAAAAATGTCATAACTGAGATTAATATAAAAATAAGATCATATAAATTTCATAAGATGATACTGATACTTGTAGGTACCCTTCTCAGTTGAAATTGAAAAATCAAATTAACTTCTCCAGACATGTTTCGCAAAAGTAAAGGCGGAGAACAATGCTTAACTCAAATAACGCAACTTAATTGTATTCTGGTTGGTCTTCCGTACTTTATAATTAGAGCCCGATTATAAACACAAAATTACATTTCTTAATTACTGCGGGTCTTCTGATTAGTCAAAACGATACAATTTACAACGCACTAAAAAAGATCTATTTCATAAGGAGACTTAGGAAACCCGATGCGGCTTTTAACTAATTTTATAATATTTTAACAACTTAAATGTAAAAATCTATTATAATTAAAAAATAACAAATAATTGTATTAAAAATTCATTTTTCATCGAAAAAAATTTTTGCTTTCAGAAAATATTGTCCATATTCATAAAAACAACTAAAAGCATTTGAAATTAAATAATATCTTTGTTTTATTGAGTTTTGTATGTTACAATTCAGAGCTGATTTTCAGGTACTGCGGATCCAATTAAAAACAAAAAAAAAAAACATGATTTGCATTCCTCAAAGCCCTGTGCTTTTAACTATTGTAATCACTAAACCCGATGCGATCGAATTTCTAGCGTTTTCATAAAATTAATTATGGGGTGGAGGTAATAAATATAAAAAAAATATATCTGCCATGACTTTAATAAAAAAAGAAATATATTTATAATAATTTCGATCATCTGTGAATAGTTCCTGAAAGTTTCATTAACATCCGACAATTATTTTTATTTTTGCAAGATTTTCCAAATTAATGAGTGTCATACCAAAAAAACGTGCTAAAAATTGTCTATGTTATTTTACTAGTTCCGGTGATACAAAGAGAAACAACGTTTTTAATCAAAATTTACAATGTTCTAAAAAGAAGGAAAAATTAAAAAAAATAATTAAAAAAAACTTTGGTCTTCCCTCTTAATAATAACATAAGCATTTAGACGATAAAATTTTGTTTTCTGCAAGGTTGGCGTCTTTTTCATCAAGCTATGCTCTTGTTTTAGCGATTTCGTGGAGGTACCTAAAACTAGTAACCATAGGTGACAGTTAATAAATTTGAACTATACTAACACCCCATAGTTTTTGTCCAATATCGATGGTCTACACAGAGGATAAAATAATAAGTTTCTTAAATCCACTAATGGAGAAATTGCAAGTGTATTTACATCACATAATGTTATGTGAGCTCAAGCAAGGGAAGAACCTTATCTTGGTATAACGATAACCTTGTTGTGGGTATAACGATAAACTACACCCATCAACAAAAACCATTAGGAAAGGTATGAATCCACCTCTTCTCCCCCTAGCTATTGGTTAATTAGTAGGAATAAAGAGGAATTCTGAACTTGGTTAGTTTTATTGATTGATTTGTTTTCTATAGCTTATCAACCCTTGCAGCTTATTTAAAGCCAGCATATATTTTTGATTGTAAGGCCTCTGATCGGGATATTGGAGGTTTTGAGCAGTGTAGAATCATCTCTTAGTTGCAATTGTCCTCAGGTCCCCGCTGACCCGGGGTGGTAGCACCTGTTAGAGTCCCAGCTATGAGCAAATAGTGAACCCTCAAACAAAAACAAAACATTATGAAATTATAAATATACATTTTTTATAGTAAAAATACCAGCAATACATTTTTATATAAAACTTACCAACAATTTATAGTAGAATTAATAACCTTCTTTTACCCATTTAGACAAACAGTCTTACATCTATTTGAAAGACTAGATGTTAGTGCGAAGATCCACTTCAATAGAGTCCAAAGTGAACATTATCACTTCGAGGCCGTAAAGACAAAAATTTATTGCTACTAATTTACATAGCCAAATATAGCGAAAAAGGCCGCTTGTAAAGGATTTTGTTACATAAAATGAATCTTATTTTTGTTTCTCCAATCTATGTTCTATTTTAAAAACAATCAAAAAAACGAATATAAGCAAAGTACTGAGAAACGGAAAAATTTCGTTAAAAACAAAGAAAAGAGTGCTGGACAACTATGTGGTAACCATCCTCTGATATGGCAGTGAATATTGCACAATTTTCCCAAGGATGAGGAAAAACTATAAGCTGCAGATTCTATAGAAGGATACTGAAAATTCCATCGACTCAGCGAATAACGAACGAGGAAGACTTAAAAAATGGCAACAGAAAGAAAACTTACATTCAGAATCAGGAAATACAACTGAAATTCCTTATACACATAATGAAGAAGGAGGGCATGGAAAACGTAACACTCACGGGGCATATTGAAGGCAAGGGAGATAGTGGAAGGAAGTGAGCTACGTAGCTGATGAGCTTGTGTAATGGTTAGCGGAGGCGGGGAATTAACAGAGGGAGTCAACCGAGATAGAATGTTGTGCAGAGCCATGAACGCCTATGTCTTGAACGGACGCGGAACATATAATAATAATAATAATAATAATAATAATGTGGAAAATGACTCATTTTGATAAAATTTCATTTTTTAAAGCAAAATTGCGGGAGTTAATCTCTCTGAAAATGATCAGTAAGTGCTGAGTAACATTGTGTCGCGGCAATTATGATGGGCGTTCGTGTATTTCGTCTCCCCGAAGTTGAGGCTGAGCGAGAACGGTGGTTAAAGGCAATATCAAGATACAATATCCGCTGACCACAATGGCTAATGGTTAAATGGCACAATGATTAAAGGCAATATGCAATATCCCCTGACCACAATGGCTAATGGTTAAATGCCACAATGGTTAAAGGCAGTACCAAGATAAATATCCCCTGACCACAAAGGTTAATGGTTAAATGGCACAATGGTTAAAGGCAATACTTAGATACAATAGTCCCTGACCACAATGGCTAATGGTTAAATGGTACAATGATTAAAGGCAATACTTAGATACAATAGCCCCTGACCACAATGGCTAATGGTTAAATGGTACAATGATTAAAGGCAATATTAAGATACAATATCCCCTGACCACAATGGCTAATGGTTAAATGGCACAATGGTTAAAAGCAATACTATGATAGAATATCCCCTGCCCACAATGGCTAATGGTTAAATGGCATAATGATTAAGTGCAATATTATGATACGATATCCCCTGACCACAATGGCTAATGCTTAAATGGTACAATGAATAAAGCAATACTAAGATGCAATATCCCCTGACCATAATGGCTAATGGTTAAATGGCACAGTCCTTAATGGCAATACCAAGATAAGATATCCCCTGAACACACAAACACTGTTGTTTGTGAAAGACATTCTTTTTCTAGTTATGCAACTTTGATTGTTAAAGGTTAGCGGAAGTACAACATAAATATCCGCTAAGTATTCAGTTTGACATTTGAATCTCTTGCCACATCCTCAAAAAACTGAGCATAACGAGAGAGAAAAAACAAGCAACACAAAATGAATATTTAATACAATTTCTAGCAAATAACAACATTTTTGTTTGCCAATATTGATCCTCATGATTTTGTGTCTGTAGTGACATGCTACAAGTCAAACAATCAGCTGCTCATACAGTCTATTGTTTTTTTTTATCTATTAAAGTTTTCAAACATTGAAGTTTCAATTCTAACAGGCTGACATACGCACATCAATTATTTCTATCAAAAAATTGTAAATATTTTCCATCACTCACAGATTGCTGAAACGTTACACGACCATAACAAGTTAACAATTGATAAAAATGTTTTTAAAGAACACATTGAAATTATGTCCCCCAAAATTGTTGGTGCATTTATCGCTTTGTATAACAAACTCCGAGATGATTACCGCCACCAAGCATAAGAACACCATTAGCTTTGACATAAAATGTATCTAAATGGAATGATTTTAATTTTCTTGGAGATATAAAGGATGCTTCATTAAGACGGATCAAAGTCAACAGTAAATAAATCAGTGTTATTGGTGAAAATTTATTTATTTCTCTATTGGATCATGTTATTTAAGTCATGGCAATTATGTGTGAAAAATAACATCACTCAAATGTCCGCCAAATCTGAAAGAGAAAAAATCATTCACATTAAAATCTGATCAAGTGATTGGAATACCCTTTATTTAGCAAAATCGTGCAAAATAAAAAAAAGTATCATTTTACTTGAAGTCTTCACCAAGTAAAAAGTTGCAAAATGATGGAAAGGACATAATTGGTTTTGCTGAAAATCTACATTGATTAAATGGTTTGTTTTCTACGACTTACCACCCCTTTATCAAAATTAAAAAGGTTATTTAAAGCCAGAAAACATTTTTCGATTGTAAGCATTTTTTGGAGATAATAATGATTTAATGATATAAGTAGCTGAGGGAGAAGAGGTGGTTTCATGCCTTTCGCAAGAGTATTTTTGCATAAGTGAATATAATGAACTCGATTGTAAATAGAACACGGCCATCTGATTAACAATTCACTGCCGTTATCCATTACATCAGCAGCACATCCAAGCTTACAGCAACATGTATTCCAAAGTTGGAAGAACCGACCATTCTGGATTCAAGCTGCTCTCGAACTTGGTCCAGGCTTGTTGTTGCTTAATTTCGGTGATCGTACGAGAACTGGTATTTCAATCTGATATGGCCGTAAGGTTGAGGCCAAACAATTGCATTGTCTAAGCAGTGATTTTACGTATTGAATTTACCCACCTTAGAGTTGGAAGAACCGACCATTCTGGATTGAAGCTGCTCTCGAACTTGGTCTAGGCTTCATGTTGCTTAACTTCGGCGATCGTACGAGAACTGGTATTTCAACGCTATCATTTTTTAAAGCCATTTTTATCATGTTAATGTTTTTACTTTCTTGTTCTGTTGTGCTCTCTATTCAATATTTTCGCAATTTCAGACATTAAATTTACAAAGTTGATTTAAAAAAAAATGACCCACAATCTTTTGTTTACTTGGGCAAAGAATGGCTTGTGAATTTTAACGAAACTGCACTCTATCAATCACCTGAACGACCCCCTTCACGCCTCTCATCAGCATAGGTGATATTAACCTTCATGGGAATGACTCGTTGCGCATTTTCGGGCTTATATTCTTAGCCGACATGAAGTGGAAAGGACATACTGAATCCATCTGCCGTTGGTTCACTGTGTCGTGATAGACAATTTTTCTCTCCTGAATCGATCTTACATATTTATAAGTCTATGATTCGCCTATGCTTTGAATATTGCTGCCATATATAGTCCGGTGATCCTGTGATATATTTAGAGATTCTTGATAAAATACAATAAAGAATCAGCAATATTATTGGTCCTGACCTGGCGTCTCGGCTTCAGTCACTTCCGCAATGAAGTTTCTCTGTGCATTCTCTATAAATAATTTCATAGTCATTGGTCGGATGAACTCTTCGTTATGTTTTCATATTGTAAATATTCATTGGGGCTAGTTTTTAAATTGTTGTTTTATTTCCCACCCCAGACAATGAATTGTACATATGGGGATTAGTTAGGACTTTCATAGAGACAATGAGGTATTATGGTGAATGTAGTAAGAAAGGTAGGTAAGAATGCGTTGTTTTGGTGTAACGAATATTGTTGTATGATTGGATCAGTGTTTGGCTACATAAGTGTAAAGTTAAGATAGAAGAAGACTGTCCATCCCTCATTCCCCATTTTGGCCTTGTGCCATATTTTTGTTTAATTGTATAAATAAATATCAGTATTCATTATGGTACCTAGACTTTTCGAATTTAAGCACAATACTAAATTAGCGACAAGGTCTCATTAATTCACAGTTGAAGTGGCTAGGTGTAACCTGAAGTTCTATGCTAACATTTTTTGAACCCCCATCCAGCTTCATGCTTTCCAGCCAGTTTTGATCTTCAAAATTCAAATGCAATGTCAATCGTTATCTACTGCCTTCTATTGTTCTTACTCCTTAATAATATTTCTATCCCCCACCCAGTCTTTCAAACTCAATAACCCCTTGTATATTTTGGCTATGCTGCCTTGCAAGGGGTGATATGATAAAAAAAAGCCTGTTTCTCTTTTGATAATTATCTTTCTTATGAGCCATATACTTTATATATCTGGAATTTAAAAAAAAAAAAGAATATCAATTACAATACTACTATATAAATTTATTTATAATTTGATAAGAATTCTGGAGTAGCACAAGAATATTTCCCAATGCCAAATTATTTTAAATATTTCTATTAAAAAGATATATTATCAGCTGAAATTCACATGGTCTATGGCATATAAATATGACCTCTAAAACTTTACTAGTAGTGGGTTAATAGCAATTTTATTATGAAAGCTTTGACTTGCGTAATAAAATCTGAAATTGTATTCATTCATTATCTATCTATCTATCTATCTATCTATCTATCTATCTATCTAAGTTTGTTCGTATCTATCTATCTATCTATCTATTGTTCTATCTATCTATCTATCTATCTATCTATCTATCGAAGTTTGTTCGTATCTATCTATCATTATCTATCTATCTATCTATCTATCTATCTATCTATCTATCGAAGATTGTACGTATCTATCTATCTATCTATCTATCTATCTATCTATCTATCTATCTATCTATCTATCCTTGTTTTGTTATATCAATATATCCCATTTCGTTCTTTCGTGGTTTATGGTTCAAACACCGGTCCCCGTACGATTACCGAAGTTAAGCAACCTAGTCAGTACCAGGTTGGGTAACCGCTTGAGAATACCTGGTATTGTAAACTTGGGTGTGCGGGCGGTGTAATGTATAATGTCTCGTAATTGTTAATCGGAGAGCTGAGTTCCAATTCTCGTTGTGTTCGTTATATTCACTTACGGGCAAATGCCCTTGGGAAAGGTTTGAATCCATCTCTTCTCTCCCAGCTATAGGTTAATTAGTAAGACTTGTATCACTAAACCATTATTATCTAAAAAAGAATTATTACAATCTAATAGTTATTTTTTTCTCTTTAAATAATCTGCAAACGGTTAATAAAATGTAGAAAACGAATCAATCTTTATTTTGTTCTTTCTTTGGTTCTTTCTTTCTTCAGTTTTTTTTCTTCTTAGTTTATTCTTTCTTTCTTTCTTTCTTTCTTTCTTTCTTCGGCAGCCACTTACTCTACTATTTGTCGCTCAATTTTTCCCCGTTCCCATAATGCATCTCATATTGTGAGCGATTTTCGAAATGGCGCTCCAAGACAAATACAAGTTTTTTCAAAAGACGCTCTTTTCTGATTAAACTTAATTGAATTTACAGGGAGAAATTAGTGGAGCCAGCTCTTAGCCATTACAGACGCACTTTCATCAGCAGGTTTACAGACAAAGGAAACGGTTGCACGCAGATATTATAAAGCTATGCAGGCACTTCACTTAGATATAGGTGTAGAAAATCAGACCCCACAATAGCGCCTCACCAACCACCATCGAATTCATATCCACACGTGTGTATGTAAAGAAGAGTATACATACTGACAATGATACACAAGTACATACCCACTCCTCTTGCGTCCTCACACACACACACACACACACACACACACACACACACACACACACACACACACACACACACCAACTCTCGGAAAATTTCCTGAACTTTACGTGCTCTGTTTGTAATGTTCACTGGAAATGTGCCTTCAGTTCCCGCTCAATGGTCCCCAGCCTACAAATCTTCCAATAAGCTGTGTGTTCCCTATTATTATTAGTTAAGAATATGTAAAGTTGTGCTGAAACGGTCCTGCGATCTTTACGATGACCGAAAAATTTGAGTGAAATCTGTGTTTGGCGCAAATGAAGTCAATCTGTAACCAGAACGTCCATGGACGGCAAATGATTTTATCTGAAATGTCCGGTGTTTTATGACTGCGTAGACAATAACATTTACGAAGCAAGACCTTCAAAGTGACTGCCCATTTACCAAAAGGAAATAAAATGAATAGATATATAAATGAAAACTTTCTGAAACAAGTGCCACATGGCTGGAAGTTAGATCTTCCGCTTGAAGGCTTACATAACAATTCACAGTCAGGACTGAATGTAGTTCTGATGCATGCCTGTTAGCGAGGTACAGCCTGCCCATTAGTGTAGGCGAGTTGCGAACCGCGTGTTTTGATGCAGATTGGGCAAAAGGGAGGAAGGAGAGAGTCCTTGCTAGACGAAAGGAAGAACTGCTCCGTCATGTCAGAAGAAAGAGAAACTATACCCGTCACCAACTTAACCGCAGATCCTGGGAATAAATCTCTGAATAAACAACGAAATATGTTGGAAACAGGATCTGGCTTTTCATTTTTCTTTGTGCCGATATTTTCATCTTTCGTTTTCCTTGTTATTGTATACCGAGCATTTCCCAGGTTTTATGCACACCGACGTGGGCTGAAATCGAAACACAACGTGGGGTGATTTGACCTGTCGCTGAAAACATTGAAACTACCCCGTTGTATGCTTCCAAATGGCACCGTTGACCAGAATTTCGACCCGGGAGAGATATGCAGAATACATGCACAGGATTCTGCACGAGACGAAAGAGGACATTAAAAAAAAAGAATCCGTTAAGAAAACCGAGATACAAAAAACGAAAACTAAGAGACGCTTGTGCACACAGCAATGAGACCCCACAAAGTGAAAAGAACGCACACACATAATAAGGACAGAAAGAAAATGGAGATATACACGTGTTGTAGTATTGTATGCACATCCTTACGATATATAGCGATTTGCTAAGCGCAGATCAGATGTTGCACAAGGTTGAAAGAATGGACCACTTACTAAGGATCGAACTCATTACTCAGTCATAATGAATCGAGTGAGATGAGTTTGCTAATTTTTACACCACACCGAAGTGCTCATACACGTACGATATATAAAGCAAAAAAAAAAAAAGAAGAAAAAAAGGAAAGAAAACAAATGATGAAAAAGTACCTAAAAATAGATCTACAGCAATCTGCAATAGAGATTACTAAGCAGAGTTGAGATGTGACACAAAACATCAAAATCGTGAATTGGCTTCAGTGGAAAAATAGAAGGAAAGATAAAAATGTCTATCGTTTCCTGCTAATACCTAAGAAATAATTTACGATTCCACTTTGATCGCGTGAGAATACAAAAGACATATCGAAGACGCTACACATTTACAGTGGAAAAAAGAAGGAAAGATAAAGGTGTTTACCGTTTCCTGCTAATACCTCCGAAATAATTGACGATTCCGTTTTGATCGCGTGAGAATACAAAAGACATATCGAAGACGCTACACGGTTATAGTGGAAAAAAGAAGGAAAGATAAAGGTATTTATCGATTCCTGGTAATACCTCATAAATAATTGACGATTCCATTTTGATCGCTGAGAATACAAAAGACATATCGAAGACGCTACACGGTTACAATGGAAAAACAAGAAATGATAAAAGTGTTTACCGTTTCCTCCTAATAACTCATAAATAATTGACGATTCCATTTTGATCGCGTGAGAATACAAAAGACATATCGAAGACGCTACTTAGTTACAGTGTAAAAAAGAAGGAAACATGAAAGTATGTATCGATTCCTGGTAATACCTCATAAATAATTGACGATTCCATTTTGATCGCTGAGAATACAAAAGACATATCGAAGACGCTAATTGGTTACAGTGGAAAAAAGAAGGAATGATCAATGTGTTTACCGTTTCCTGCTAATACCACAGAAATAATTGACGATTCCGTTTTGATCGCGTGAGAATACAAAAGAGATATCGAAGACGCTACTTGGTTACAGTGGAAAAAAGAAGGAAAGATAAATGTGTTTACCGTTTCCTGCTAATACCTCATAAATAATTGACGATTCCGTTTTGATCCCGCGAGAATACAAAAGACATATCGAAGACGCTACACGGTTACAGTGGAAAAAAGAAGGAAAGATAAATGTGTTTACCCTTTCCTCCTAATACCTCAGAAATAATTGACGATTCCGTTTTGATCGCGTGAGAATACAAAAGACATATCGAAGACGCTACTTGGTTACAGTGGAAAAAAGAAGGAAAGTTAAAAGTATTTATCGATTCCTGGTAATACCTCAGAAATAATTGACGATTCCGTTTTGATCGCGTGAGAATACAAAAGACATATCGAAAACGCTACTTGGTTACAGTGGAAAAAAGAAGGAAAGATAAATGTGTTTACGTTTCCTGCTAATACCTCAGAAACAATTGACGATTCCATTTTGATCGCTGAGAATACAAAAGACATATCGAAGACGCTACACGGTTACAGTGGAAAAACGATGGAAAGATAAAAGTGTTTACCGTTTCCTCCTAATAACTCATAAATAATTGACGATTCCATTTTGATCGCGTGAGAATACAAAAGACATATCGAAGACGCTACACGGTTACAGTGGAAAAAAGAAGGAAAGATAAATGTGTTTACCGTTTCCTGCTAATACCTCAGAAACAATTGACGATTCCATTTTGATCGCTGAGAATACAAAAGACATATCGAAGACGCTACACGGTTACAGTGGAAAAACAATGAAAAGATAAAAGTGTTTACCGTTTCCTGCTAATAACTCATAAATAATTGACGATTCCATTTTGATCGCGTGAGAATACAAAAGACATATCGAAGACGCTACACGGTTACAGTGGAAAAAAGAAGGAAAGATAAATGTGTTTACCGTTTCCTGCTAATACCTCAGAAACAATTGACGATTCCATTTTGATCGCTGAGAATACAAAAGACATATCGAAGACGCTACTTGGTTACAGTGGAAAAATGAAGGAAAGATAAAAGTGTTTACCGTTTCCTGCCAATACCTCAGAAATAATTGACGATTCCATTTTGATAGCGTGAGAATACAAAAGACATATCGAAGACGCTACTTGGTTACAGTGGAAAAAAGAAGGAATGATAAATGTGTTTACCGTTTCCTTCTAATACCTCATAAATAATTGACGATTCCGTTTTGATAGCGTCAGAATACAAAAGACATATCGAAGACGCTACTTGGTTACAGTGGAAAAAAGAAGGAAAGATAAATGTGTTTACCGTTTCCTGCTAATACCTCAGAAATAATTGACGATTCCGTTTTGATTCCGGGAGAATACAAAAGACATATCGAAGACGCGACACGTTTACAGTGGAAAAAAGAAGGAAAGATAAAAGTGTTTACAGTTTCCAGCTAATATCTCAGAAATAATTGACGATTCCGTTTTGATCGCGTGAGAATACAAAAGACATATCGAAAACGCTACTTGGTTACAGTGGAAAATGAAGGAAAGATAAATGTGTTTACCGTTTCCTGCTAATACCTCAGAAACAATTGATGATTCCATTTTGATCGCTGAGAATACAAAAGACATATCGAAGACGCTACACGGTTACAGTGGAAAAAAGATGGAAAGATAAAAGTGTTTACCGTTTCCTACTAATAACTCATAAACAATTGACGATTCCATTTTGATCGCGTGAGAATACAAAAGACATATCGAAGAGGCTACTCGGTTACAATGGAAAAAAGATGGAAAGATAAAAGTATTTATCGATTCCTGGTAATACCTCAGAAACAACTGACGATTCCCTTTTGATCGCTGAGAATACAAAAGACATATCGAAGACGCTACTTGGTTACAGTGGAAAAATGAAGGAAAGATAAAAGTGTTTACCGTTTCCTGCCAATACCTCAGAAATAATTGACGATTCCATTTTGATCGCGTGAGAATACAAAAGACATATAGAAGACGCTACTTGGTTACAGTGGAAAAAAGAAGGAATGATAAATGTGTTTACCGTTTCCTGCTAATACCTCATAAATAATTGACGATTCCGTTTTGATCGCGTGAGAATACAAAAGACATATCGAAAACGTGACACTCTTACAGTGGAAAAAAGAAGGAAAGATAAATGTGTTTACCGTTTCCTGCTCATACCTCAGAAACAATTGACGATTTCATTTTGATCGCTGAGAATACAAAAGACATATCGAAGACGCTACACGGTTACAGTGGAAAAAAGATGGAAAGAGAAAAGTGTTTACCGTTTCCTGCTAATACCTCAGAAATAATTGACGATTCCGTTTTGATCCCGTGAGAATACAAAAGACATATCGAAGACGCTACACGGTTACAGTGGAAAAAAGAAGGAAAGATAAAAGTGTTTACCGTTTCTTGCTAATACCTCATAAATAATTGACGATTCCG